GAGAAGGAGAGGATGTGGAGAGCATGGGGGAATGGGGCAGTTGGGATGGAGGAGGAGTGGATATGGGAGCAGGGAAGTATATATCTTAATTAAGGGAGCCACTTGAAGGTTGGCAAAAGACTAGACTCTAGAGGGGTTCCCAGGTGTCCAAGGAGATGTCCCCATTTTGTTCCTTGAGCAGCTGAGGAGAGGGTGCCTGAACTGGCCTTATACTATAGCCACACTGATGAATATCTTGCATATCACCATAGAACCTTCATCTGGTAATGGATGGAGATAGAGACAGAGACCCACTTGGAGCACTGGACTGAGCTCCCAAGGTCCAAATTAGGAGCAGAAGGAGAGAGAACATGAGCAAGGAAGTCAGGGCCACTAGGGGTGGTGCGCCCACCCATTGTGACGGTGGGGCTGATCTAATGGGAACTCACCAAGGCCAGCTAGACTGGGATTGATGGAGCATGTGATCAAACCGGACTCTCTGCACATGGCTGACAGGGAGGGCTGACTGAGAAACCAAGGACAATGGCACTGGGTTTTGATTCTACTCCATGTACTGGCTTTGTGGGAACCTAGTCTGTTTGGATCCTCACCTTCCTAGACCTGGATGGAGTGGGGAGGACATTGGACTTCCCATAGGGCAGGGAACCCTGACTGCTCTTTGGACTGGAGAGGGAGAGGGAGGGAGAATGGGGAGAGCAGGAGGGAAATGGAAGGAGGGGAGGAGGTGATAATTTGTAGTAATAATAATAATAAGAAAAACAAGAAAAAAAGGAAAAACGAAGAAACAAACAAAAAAAACAATAAAAAATAGAGTCTGAGAGATGAATGTGTCCAGCACTATCAAAGAGACAAAGAAAATAAGTCATGAGTTACAAAATGTTTGAGTCCTAACATTTAAAGTTAAATTACTTCACAAAAGAAAGTTTACAGACATTCCTCATTTCATTCATCATTTATGCACAGCAATGCTTAAGCATGCATGTGCAGCCTGTGTATGGCAGTTCTCTAGTTGTTTCTATCCTGGGCAATCCTGGATGCTTGTGATATTGTGACACCCAAGGTTTCACATTCTTCCTTTATGCTGTCTATCCACAGTTTTTAGGGACTTTCTCTTCCCCTTATTTCATGCACTCTACCAAGAAGTGTTATTTTTGGGTATCTGCAGTCATTCATTCTCAAAACATGGCCAAAGTATCTCAAGCGTTGCTGCCATATCCTGTAGTTTACTTCCTTCTGTAGAAAAGCTGTTTCTTAATGTCATGGTTGGGCAGCCCATCTCTTCATGTAACACCTAGAATCCTCCTGACACATGCCATCTCAAACACATTCAGCCACTGCTTGAGGAGCATTTCATTTTCCAGGTTTCCAAATTGTAAAGAAGGCGGCTGAAGACAAGTGTTTCATATGGTGTAGGAGGCCCTTCTGTCCATGTGTTGCTTTCATTGGTTGATGGATAAAGAAACTGCCTTGGCCTAGTTGACAGGGAAAAACTTAAGTAGGCAGAGAAGACAGAACTGAATTCTGGGAGAAGGAAAGAGTCAGAGAGAGATGCCATGGATCTGCCTGAGACAGACACTGGGAAATTTACCTGGTAAGCCATTGCCATGTGGCGATACACAAATTAATAGAAATATGTTAAAAACTAGATCTAATGGGACAAGCAGTGATTTAATTAATAGAGTTTCTGTGTGGCTATTTCAGGGCTAAGCTAGCCAGGCGGCCCGGGCAAACAAGCGGGCCCTCCTTGCAACACTCATATACCTGTAATGTTGTTGTTGTTGTTATGTCTCTTGTTGACTCAACCTTTTCTAGTGCCTGGAATGCAGTCCTTGTTATCCCTATCTGCCTTTTGGTGTCTGAAATAGTTCCCTCCCTTTAATTGAGGCCTCCTCCCAGATAACGAAGTTACTTATGTCTGTTACATCAACTTTAGTAAGGCATTTGATAGCATTTGGAGGAAAGGACTTTGAGAAAAAGGTTCTACAGTTACCCAGAGAAAACCATAAGAATACCAGAAAATGCCTATAAAGATAGGTTTGCATCAGGCTGTGGTGGTGCAGCTGGGTGGTGGTGGCGCTTGCCTTTAATCCAGCACTGGGGAGGCAGAGGCAGGTGGCTCTCTGTGAGTTTGAGGCCAGCCAGATCTACAAAAGCTAGTTTCAGGACAGGCTCCAAAGCTAAAAAGAGACCATGTCTTGAAAAACCAAAAGAAGAAAAAAAAAATACTTTGCACCAGTCAAAGTCTGTGGAGAATTAAGTTACCAGTTTAAGACAATTGTAGGACTGTTGCAAGATGCACGCTCCTACCACCACTTTAATATATTACTGAAATTTATATAGCAACAGCCCTGGACAATGAGAAGATAGGCATACAGATAGGTGGTGTACAAATCAGTAACTTGCGTTTCTCTGGCAATACAGCACTACTTGCTGAAAGTCCAAATGAGCATAAGGCCGTGGTAAACTGAGTAGTGGAAGTAAGTGAAAAGCTTGGTATGAAAGTAAACATTGAGAAGACTGAGAAAAAACACATGGGAAGGGTGCACAAGAATTTTAACATTGTAAAAAAGAATCAGAACCTCAAGCAGTCAACTTTAAAGACATTATCATTATAAAGATAGATATTTTTACAGTTCTTGTTCTTTTTTAACAATTCCTCATAGTTAACGCAGTTAATTAAAACTAACACATAAAACAATTATTACATAAATGGGATAGAGTACAAAAAATTCCAATTTTTATAAAAAGGATTCAAAGATTCTCTGGTGAAAATGGTTGATAA